TTATATTCAGTTGAGTAATGCAATAACATATGATTGGTTTTTAAAAGAAATTCCCACACAATTTTGATGAATATATCTTACAAAATGACAGTAACTCATTCATCTTTTGTCCCCTTCTTTACACCCCCGTCCCCAACACATCTCTCTCTCTCTCTCTCTCTCTCTCTCTCTCTCTCTCTCTCTCTCTCTCTCGTCATTCTTTAATCTTGTATCTTTCTCTGTGTGTGAGAGAGAGAGAGACAGTGTGTGATTAAGTCATCTCTCTTGATCACCCCCCCCCCCTTGCGCGAACACACACACACGCACAATTCCTTGTTTCAATGGATCATTTGCCCTCAGTTAACTCCCAGGAAGCTGTTTCTGGATTTGTGTATGATTCCATGTAGTTTACAGATCAATTTCCGATGGAGTGAGAAAGCCAGTCTTAGGTCAGCTGTCTTTCATTGCCTCTTGCCATATGTATGCTAGGTTTTTCTTCTCTTTTCCAGTATAGTAAAAAACAAACCCCACTAAAAGTAACTTTTCCATGCCTTTAGGCATATTGGGCTAGACCTATATTTATATAGCATTAGGCTAGATGCCTTTACTTCCCAGGACTGCACCTGTTACCCACTCAAGGCTGAGTCGACCTGGGAGTCAAGGTCATTTTTGAAAAAAGTCCGGCTCCGCCAGAGAGCAAACCCACGACTTTCTGATCCGCACGCGAGCATCTAGCCACTATGCCGTGATTACTTTCCCTTTCCTGTATTCCCCAACCAAACATAAACTTCCAACAAACTCATGCTAATCTAAAATGACTTTGGCTTCCAGGTCGACCTAGCTTTAAATTTGTACCGACTGCAGTCCCGTGAATTAGAGGCGTCCGGGGTGATGCTGACCACATCACTCATCTTTTGCTGATTGGTCTATAAAAATGTAGGTCTAGCCCTATATGCCCTATAGGCCTAAAGGTGTGGAAGAGGGTCCTTTACTTGACTTTTTTACATGCTAATTTTTCATATTCTGTGCTGTTGTATGCATAAGCCCCACAACACTGGAGCTCAGGTCGTTCAAGCCCCCCCCCCCCCCCCCCCCCCCACCACCCCACCCCCCCCCCCCCCCCCAACCCCATAATTCTGAAAGAGGAATAAGAGGTTCCCTTTAACTATTTGTAAAAATTCTCTGTTTAAGTGTTTGTACATTTTATATTACAAGTATTACAAATATCCTTTTAGATTTATTTGCTATTCAGCTTTTTAAAAACAATACTATGTTAAATGAAAAATAAAATATAATTGACTTGGAACATAGGTTCAGGAACCTTTAGCCCTTCTCATCTCCACCTATGCCCTCCTAAACTGAGAGTAGGACTGTTCTACAGTGTCTGTCCCTAATGTTTTTTCTCATACACTTCCAGTTTTTTCTGATGTAGATATTCTTCCATACCATAATACTAGACCAGCATCCTCTCTCTGTCTGTCTCCTCCTGCCTCTCTTTCTTTTCAGCTTTCCTGTTGTCATTCCATATTCAGTTCTTCACTTCTCATGGTACACCCAAAGAATGTGTGTTTTCTTCTACATGGGGTAACAAGTTTTCATTGTGAGTTAACTCCTTACAAGCAATTCTTATCACACCTTTTTGAAAAAATTGCAATTAGAATGTTTGCAAAACATTATCAGCTGTTTTTATTTATTCCGCAGATGGACTTAATAGTGAAAGTAAAAAAGGGTCAAAACCTCGTCAGATATTTGCCTTTGCTAAACATTTCCAAGATAATATGGTACTACAGAAAGCACCAGCCAGAGCCGTTATATATGGGTTTTCATCTGCTATTGGTCAAAAAGTCATTGCTCAGGTAAGAAATCATCTTTAACTCTTTGAGTCCCAGGGAGTTTAGCATCAGAGGCCCAAAGGGTGGTAATACAGTTTTGAAATGTCACAAGTGTGACACATTAAAACAGACCATTTTAATTCACATACCTCACTACATACACATATTTTACATCAAGGGGCCCAGGGATTGTTGAGGGAAAATATTAGAATACTGCTACAAAAATAAGGGATTGCCGTGGTGAAGATTTAAGTAAAATGAAACAATAATTTTTTCCACTTACCACCATGGCACTCAAAGAAAACTTAATAAAACATACTTAAAATGAATCACAAATGAACATGAACCACTTAGTAATGTATAAATAAATTTTAAACACAATCTGCTCATTAAATTTTGTTCCAGAGAAGATTTTACAACATCATAACAGAGCATAATTTTTTTTTTTTGGTAAAGAGAAATGACTTCTGAAAACAGTATTTTCACAAAAAACAAACTTTACATAGAACTCAGTTCGCTAGTAATTTTATAGCCTGTGTTCCCAAATAATAAAAGAATTGCACTAGACCTCACTGACGCTGAAGAGTACTGCCCGTTTCACTAATATTTTTTTTTCTCTATACCAGCTGACTTTGTTTTTGTTGTAGACTTTTCATGAGGTATATATCAGAACTATCCCTCATCAAAGTTTGACTCTATCAATGACTGAGGAAAGTCTACTTCGTAACTTTCTTTGTCTAGCTTTGGATAAATCTGATAAATGTGTTTTTTATTTTAAAATGATTCTTTTAAATTCATAAATCTTGTTGGCATGCGTGAAGAAGTCGGCTCGATGTCATTGTTTTCATACTGACATTTGGTAACTCGGTAAAGCTCACAAACATGCTACATTTTATCTTTTAACTACGTTTCCAAATAAGTCTAATGGTCAGTACGTGTGACATCAGACACAAAGAACAGGAAGTACCATTCAGAATTGCCGGTTTGCGTTGTTATACTGGCCAGTGGTAAATTAAAAACCAGTGTGCGCCACGCCCCAATAGGCAGCTGAGTAGTAACCGATTAGCATGAGATGTGTTCCTTGGGACTCAGAAAGTTAAAAGAATTTATCTAATATTAGTAAAGCAGCTGGCTCAGTAGCTAAGGATGCTGGACTCTCATTTGGGAGACACATGTTTAAATCCTCTATAAGGTGCTGAATTTTTTCTTGCTTGGGGGCAAATATATAACCCAAACCTGCAGACAGTGGTGACTGAACTAGTGAAGCAAACCCAAATCCTCAGGATTAGGACCCCTTCCCCCTTTTCCTCATCTGTGACTGGGAGAGGTGCAACCTGCAGCTAGACAACAGCTGGTTTTCCACATGATGTGGCCAAGGCCTGTGTCCTGGAGAGAGCCCTTCACACTGTCAGTGGGTTAATGTGCCTGGGGTCGTAGATACTTGTATCAGACATTTCCCTAGTAGCGGAAATTAACAGCAGCATTGGAAAGGCAGTCGCAACACTTTTTAGGCCAACTAGTAGAGTCTTAGAGAACAGTAGCTAACAGAGCGAACAAAAGTTTAGATCTATAAACCTCATGTTGTGAAGAGAATTCTCCATGGGCCTGAATCCTAGACCTTATACTCACAACAGGGAAGAAAGTTCAGTTCCTTCCAAATGAGATGTCTGAGATCTATCCTGAGCCTATCACTGAAGGACTATATAACAAAAAAACAAGACTTTGAAAGAGCAGATATTAACCAAAGTGTACTCTCTCTTCACAGGTAAAGTCCTGAGAAGTAAAGGAGGCTGGCATGATGTTGACCACGTCACCCCCTGAATGCCGATTTGTCTATAAAATATAGGTCAACATATATAGGCAGTATGCCTGAAGGCCTGGAAAAGGGTCTTTTCCTTTTTTTTAAAATAAACTCTTTCCTCATTCAGAGGCATCACCGCTAGCTGGGCCATGTATCAGAAGTTAAGGATGGACATATTGCCAAAAATCAATTTTTTTTAGAACTAGCCACACAAAAAGAGGCCAGCTCAAAGACCTCAGATATGGTATGGCTAATGGCAACTCTTGGCATAGATACAGAAATGTAGGAGAGAGTTGCAGCAGATAGATATTCCTAAAGAGGAGATGTATGAAACAGACTGATGGTCTTGAGTGCAGTCTGATCAAACTAGCTGAGGACAAGAGGCACAAGTATAAAATGCAGTCACTTGCTGTGGGACCTACCTCATCTTAAAGATGCTGAAACTGAGATGGAGATTATCACTCTTGCATCAGACTTTTTAGTCACCAGCAGGATTATCAGGCACCTGCCCAGCAACACAACTTTATAGTCCTGCAGAATTATGACAAAGAAGAATGAGTATAGATGTTTATATTTCAGAAGTATAAAATACCTAACAGCCTCAAGATAAGAAATTATTTTTGAACTACTTGACTCCAGGGTTCATAGAAATGGATACCAAATAATTTTCTTTTAATTTAACTCTTTGAGTCCCAGGGGATTTAGCATCACCGGCCCTAGGGGTAGTAAAGAAAGTAATAAAATTGGCGCATCATGCGTTTATTGGGCTTCTAGGTAGGAACCTATGAATGTATGATGCGTTCCTTAGGACTCAAAGAGTTAAAAGGCAACAGTCATGATACTGACCACATTGCCCAACAGAATACCTGGTGTTTACTGTAGTGAGCATTTCACCTTGTGGTTTCAATAGTGTCTGCTAAATTTTAGGTAAAGATTAAGATTGCAGTAAATGTTTCTCTTTCAAATGTTTTAATTGCAAATAAGCTTTTTAAATTGTTTTCAGTGCATCTTATTGATGTATGCATTTTCTGTATCTTACTGTTTAATTCCTATAATATGTGTATATTTATTAAATGTCTGCACTTGTTATAATCTAAACCTATTAATTTTCAGCTTGTAGAGAAAAAAAAATTCTTTACTCTGAAAGATTACTAAACAAGCTTATTCTGCCATATCTCATTGTTTTTGGAGATATTAAAACATATATATATATATATATATATATATATATATATATATATATATATATATATATATATATATATATATATATATATATATATATAAAATTCATTAAATTATGTATATTAATATAACATTATCTATATTTTCTAATACTGCTATGCTATGTATTCATATTAATCTGACCTTTTCTGTATTTTTTATAGATGAGAACACCCTCACACCAGTACTATTATTCTACGACAGTCCAGCAAAGCCCATCTCCTAACATCGGTGTATGGAGTTTCAGCCTGGACCCAATAGAGGCTAATGTAACTGTGAGCATTAATGTTCACTCAGAGCAAGGAGAGCTTGCCATAAGAAATGTCATCTTTGGTGATGTTTGGATTTGCTCTGGGCAGTCTAATATGCAGTTTACAATTGTTATGGTAAGAAATTGAAAGTTACCTCATTGATATAAACTATTTATGTGTGGCAATAAATACAAAACTTGGAACCCTTCTCTTTGCTCATACCCAAATATCTGTCTTCTATCTATGTATGTATGCTTCTTTTATTTATTTTTCCCTGCTAGTAGTTTTCAGATGAAAAGCCCACAGGACTACATGAAGGCTGTGTTGCAATGCATGGCCTCCACTGATCATTACAGGTGGAATGCTAACTATCAGACCTGGGATCTTCCTGTTGCATGCAGAGGGCATATCTGCAGCATATATTTCAGTATTCTGGGGTTCCTGTTCATATGAGCAAAGTTCTGAATCCCCTATCTTCAGTTTCCTGTACATATGACTACAGAGTATGTTGGGTCCAGTTCACAGTGAAAACGACAATAGTTCTTTGATTGCATTTGAGGAATTTCATGTGGGATTGTACTGGATGGGCAGTGCTCCAGGATGTTCCAGTGGCTGCCTTGATCTGGGTTTTAGTTCCTTCATACGTGATTTACGCACCCATTGTGTGCTCTTTCATGTCCCTTGATTAATCCAGTGGAACATTATGGGAAATGAAAAAGCAGACTACTTTACAAAACTTGAAAGGCTGCGGTATCTGCACCTTTGGGCCCAACACAGCCAATTCAGGAAAACCTTAATAATAAACCTTTTACAAATGTTTGTTAAGATGCAATTGGTCTGTTCTTTTTTTCTCCAAAATGGGACACTGGCATTCACACAGAGAGAGATGAATAATTACAACAGAAAGTTTCTAATTTCTGTCATGGACTTGCAGTAATTACTTTGCTAGTTTAGTCATTAAAGTCTAACCGAAGCGGTTTAGCATAAGTAAATTAGCACAGTGTTGACATTCTTTTTTAGAGACATTTTATAGCAGTTCCTCGCCACATTCTGAATGGCACTTGCTTATTTGTCTCTCACATCACTTAGTCAACATTCATTGCTATTCCTTCCAAAAAGTAATTTAAAATTATTTTCTACTTGTGATAAAAAGATCTACCGTTAATTGGGATATTTATTGAATGGTAAAACTAGTAATTGTCACTACATGTGCATGCATAATGTCTTTAATGTTTATCAGTTGATCTTCTCCTTGCACACCCTCTTGCCCTCACGTCAGATCTTTTTAGGTGTAGCACATGTATTCATTTTTGTTGCTGCATTCTAACTATCTTGTCAAACCATTTGATGATCTGATTCTTAATGAATTTGAGGTATCATCAACATGGAGGTTAAGATCATTAATTCTGGCCACTCCAATGACAGACCCTGTAAGACACTCGAGAACCATCTTTTCCATCTCATGGGTGCCAATTCACCTAGGGAACTTAACATCCAACATACTTTTGTCTAATGTCTTTGAGTTACGGCCCTTTTCACTCATAGGCTTTTTCTGGCTAGTATTTATTTCCAGTGGCTACACCTTTGTAAGATATTCTACTGGCCAGAGAGAGAAAGAGAGTGAGAGGGAGAGAGAGAGAGAGAGAGAAAGAGAGAGAGAGAGAGAGAGAGAGAGAGATGTGATTTATATTGGAGATAAGTCATTTAAATGATTTTATGTATTCTTGTTTGAATTTGTGTTATTGTAGATTTATGGAATGTGCTGTTAAAGGATGTCTAACTTCTTGTTTGTATTTGTAATCTTATGAAGCTGACTCTTCTACGTTTCATTTGGTTTTTATATCTTTTCCTAATGAATTTGGCACAGTGTGTTCTTCCCACTATCTGTCTGATAGTATTATTTCTTACCCAGTCTCATATGGTTGAGTTTGTGGCTTTAACTCATTACAATAGATGCTGAACGCTTCACAAGAACTAGCAGATGCCAGAAATTACCCCAATATTCGGATAATGACAGTAGCAGAAGCACAATCTGATACACCTCTTCATGACCTGGTTTCAATTGAAGAACACTGGACTTCACCCAGCAGTGGTATGTCTGTTAGTGTGTTTGCAGAAAGAAACAGTGCCACATCATCACTCATTAGTGAATAGTTTCCTTTTTAACAGTATGGTAACTATATTTTAGAACATACTTAATCTTTCTTTCAGTCACATAACAGTGAGAAATAATGTTGTTATGTTATCACAGTCTGTGCCACTGCACATTGGGCAGTCCCATGCATGCTGTCCTCCAATGTAGCAGTCACTCCTAGGTAGCTCTACTGATTGTTTCCATGAGAAGTTCATTATGGTGTCTCTTGTCTTGATCTTAAACATGGCATAGACATGCTTCCCCAAGCTTTACTCCCAGATCATGCAATCATGTTAAAATCAGAGATTCAACATTATTTCCCAGCCTAGTATTTACATAAGAGATTCAACATTATTACTTAACCTAGTATTTACATAATTTATTTTATCAGCTCTGTCCGTGCTTCTTCCAGTTTGCAATGGTTCATTACATGCCAGGACTTTTTATGCAATGACAAAGAAGGAAAATGGTCAGGATTAGGCTGATCATGCTGACTTAAGCGAAATTTCTCTTATCAAGAGTTTGACTTCAGTGGACTCGACTCTATATCACTGTCTGTATGGATCATCATTCTGACCTTCTTCGGTTGTGATCATCTGTGAATGAGTTTCTGCATGTTTACTGAAAGGCATGGGCGGGCTATCATAAAACTTATTAGAGATGTGAAAAGTTCTAGACACTGGACCATCAATCCTCTTTGGTGATAGCCAGTTTTCATAGGATAATGTGAACTACTGAGTCATTACACTAACACATCTCCCGGATGTAATATATATAATCATCATAATTTAATTGTGCCATTATAAGTTACACAGGCTTACAATCTTTTTCTCAGTGCCATTCTCTTCTGTGCAATCATGGATGGAATCCAGTTCATTACCTTTGACCTCTCTTATCACAGTTTATTTAGGGTTTCTCTTGGTCATCCTCATTTTCTCAACCCATTATGTTCCCATTTCAGTGCCTGTTTGGTGATTCTCTGCACACTTTTTCTCAGTACCTGCCCAAAATAGTGTTTTCTTCTTTGTCTTATAACTGATTGTGGTTGTCTAGACATTTCAACTATAAAACAAGAATTATTAGCATATTGTTAGTTGGTGCTCCATGCTTGTATTTTTTTGTGGTACAAAAGTGCAGATACAATTTGTCTAGAAAATTGTTTAATCTGGTGTGTCCATTATATTATAGGATACATTATTTTTTTGTGTGTCTTTTTAGTAGATTAATTATGTGATGCATCTTTAAAAAAATTTTTATTGTTTTTTTCTTTCTTCTTAGCAACCATAGGTGGTCCAGCATGGTCATTTTTTTCTGCTGTGTGCTGGTTGTATGGGAAAGCTATACATAAAGAACTTGGCTACCCCATTGGTTTAGTTTCCACAACGTGGGGCGGCACTCCCATAAAGGCATGGTCATCCCCTGAAGCTCTTGCTGAGTGTGGAGTCACAAGCAACACTGCCAAAAACCAGCCACCAGAATATGAAAGGCAATATAATTTATCTGCAGTCATGATATATGAACAATGGATGAGATGTTATGTTTTAATTATTAAGATCACTGCACACTGGGCATTCAGCAGACTTCCCAAGGTCCCTCTGCTGACTATTCCCTCATGAAGCTGGTTGAGAAGAGAGCACTGAGTATATCTATAACAATTACCCTTTTAACCCTGTCACCTTGAGGAGCAGTACAACCAGTCAGGATGTGAATATATTAGCTTAAAATACATGTGGGGGAGGGGGGCAGGGGGGTGTGAACCAAAAGGGCTTTCTTAAAACCATGGGAATATGTTCCATTTAATGCTTCACCTTTGTTATTTTTCCATATTGACATCCTAGCACACCATTTACACCTATTCTCGCTTCATCCTTAAACGCAGCTGCCATCTCAGTGTCTTCTTGCTCTTTGTACCCAGTAGGAGTTGATTGACATATTCTTCTTTCTTTGTCCCGCAGACGGTTTCTGCATGCTTGTCCTTGTTTTAATACCAATTTCTAACAGGTTGGTTCATCGTCCTTGACTTGTGTGTCTGGACATCCTGAAAAGAAGTGCATTAAGTATATCTGAAGTATGTCTGCCCTTTCCATACATCTACATACACAAGACACAACCAATTTGTTGGCTCTTTAATTTCCTTTCACCCCAGCATTTTCTCATGTGTACATCCAAGATAGTTTCCTAGGGCAGGATTTCTAAAAGCTTTCACCCATTTCTAGTAATAGTTTGCCTGCTGGATCTTCCTAAGCATGCTCATTAAATCTGTCACTGTGAGTGCGAGAGTCACTTTCTTGTTTGCCACCCACACAGGTATCCCTGTGACAGCTGCTGTCTCCATCGTCATACTAGAAGTAGTTGAACTGAAAGCTTGTCTTTCTTTTTTTACTATCTTTCCATTCACTTGCCCTGTGTTTGTCCAGACCACACCCCACAATTCACTAAGTCTTCTGTATAGATGATGACATCACCTGATTGAGTGGGCTCATGGATCAGGGCCCTTTTTCAGCATCAGTGGCTGTATTAATGGGGGCGGGGGGAGGTGGAAAATGGGGGGAGGGGTGTGGGGACTTAACCCACTGCCCTCTAACAAGTATGTTGTCAATGGTGAGCAGTTGGGAGTAAAATCAAAAATGTTGGGTGAAGGGTACAGATATCGCAGCCTTGCTGAAGCCACAACACAGTGTGACAGCTGCACGTGTGAGCATGAATGCAGAAGAAGAAGACGATTTTACCTTCTTCAGATTAATTTGCTAGACCAAGTAACTTTCTAGGACAGAACGAGTTATTAAAGTAGTATCTTCTAGGACTTATATATATATAAGAAGCTCTTACCCCAATTGTGTTTATTTGACATTAGTCTCCCCAACTAGAGTAGGTCACTTTTCATTCACAAGTCTGTTGGGCTGGTTGACTTTCCTGAAAATTACGGGTGTGTCCTGCTCTGTTGTTTGTTTTCTGCCATGTCTTGCATTAACATTTTCATTCATTGAAAGATAATGCCTGTGACATAGGTTGCAGCAGTCTCTAGGGGGTTTGTGTTAGACCCAGTTTCTCCATGTTTTTGGAGTGTTAAAAGCGCTAGCCTGCTGAAAAATACAACACACATTATCAACGGCACTGAGGAACACTCCCGTAACCTTCTGCGAAGGTCGCTAGGGCTCAGGAACAACCAATCCGAAGTGAGCTAGTGTGTATATGGTTGGGGCCTGGGAAGACTAACATTAGTTTTACCTAATCTTCTTCTGCTCTTGATCTGCCAAGTCGTTTTATCTTTTGCTTTCATGTTCTGCTTCTTTCGTTCACTTGGAATAGATTATCTATATCTGCAATGTTGTCTGTCTGTAGTATGAACTTCACTGCCTTTTGTAATTCACTCAGTGCCTGTAAAGCTGTCATGTGTAACTCACATTGTGACCTTTAGCAAGTGGCAAAAGATACTCACCAATAACAAGATATCAGTTGCAGTGAAAAAAACAGTGTCAGTGAGAAAAATGATGTCAGTGAGAAAAAAAAAACTCAGTGAGAAAAACAGTGTCAGTGAGCAAAACAGTATCAGTGAGAAAAATGTTTCAGTGAGAAAAACAGTGTCAGTGAGAGAAAAACAGTGTCAGTGAGAGAAACAGTGTCAGTGAGAGAAACAGTGTCAATGAGAAAAACAGTGTCAGTTAGAAAAACAGTGTCAGTGAGGGGAAAAAAACAGTGTCAGTTAGAAGAAAAAACAGTGTCAGAACAAAATAGCGTCAGTGAGGGGGGAAAAAAACAGTGTCAGTTAGAAAGAAAAAAAATCAGTGTCAGAAAAAAAAAACAGTGTCAGTGAGTAAAACCGTGTCAGTAAGCAAAACACAACCAAAAGGCTATGTAAAACCTGGGTTGTTATTTGCATGTGAGATAACGGACAATAAGCAGACAGGCTGGAAAACATTTCATTGCAGCGATATGATTTTTGAGAAGACTAAAGAATATCATTGAGTGATAGAAAAGCAAATGAGACAGTCCTCCTCAAGAAGTCGTAAACTGATTAAAAACATTAGATATAGACAGTCAGTGTTTTTTTTTTTGGACATTCTTTGAGAAGGAGTGTACTCAAGAACCTTGTAACAGCTGGCTAGATTGATGGAAAGAGAGCAAGGGGAGGACAAAGAGTTAAATACCTGGATGGCTTGGCCATATGGATGGGGGTGAGTCAAGAACACTGACATGATCTGTGATTTTTATGATCATCTGGGATAGCAAAAGATGGTAGCCAGGCCTATGCTTTTCAGCATGACACATGATGATGATAATGTAGCTCACATCACGGGGTCCCCATTTTTGCCTCTTCATTAATTCCTTATCTCTCTCTGTTATTTATCTGCCTTTATTACTTTGACACTGCTGGTTCCAGTGCAAGGGCATTCTAATTATATTGTTATCACCCTATATAAAGAACCTACACAGAACTTCTTGCAGTCAAACGTATTCAACCATGTTAAATGTGTTCCTTTGATCATATTCAGCTATGTGAAGCAGCTGCCACCAGCGGAAAGAGCTAAGCTTTCTGGACCTGAGACTAACTCAGTTCTGTGGAATGCCATGGTGTATCCACTGCTGGGTATGACTATCTATGGGACCTTATGGTATCAAGGTATATGTTTTATTCTTTAGTGAATGTTTTGTTGATGATTTTGTTACACTAAATATAATTACAAACAGAGTTGAGTTGAGTCAAGAATTGACATCACAGCGCTCAAGCACTCCCATGCGTGCTCCGTCCTCTTCAGCAGCCAGTGCAGAGTTCCAGTACTGATGGTACTGGTCACAGTCTGGTTATATGTCCGTCTTGCCTTTCCTCTGAGTGTAGTGAGCCAGCCATACCCTCTGGTTACACCCAGGTGCCTCATTCTCTCCAGGCCATAATAATCTTGTTTCTCAACTAATTCTGTTGCTTGTTCCCAAAGGACCTTGACCACATCTGCCTTGTCATAGAGAGAGATAATACTCCATAGGAAACACATGGCCTAGATACAATACTATTCAGGTTTTATGATATGTAGATGCACATGAGCTCATACTGTGTTCACATGATATGAAGAGAAGCATCATTTGGAAAGACAGAATGGTGTCTGCTTAGTCAGTAACACTAAATGTAATTGAATTAATTTAGGACTATTCTCAGGGACTACTCCTATTATGTTTGTGTGATTTATCAACAAATTGTGCACATCTTGTATGGAGATTGAAGATGTAGTACTTGAATATCTATTTCATGAATATAGTTTTTCCAGACTTTAATTAACTTTTATATTGCTTTAGCTCTCATTGAACAAAATAATAACAAGAAATGTAAAGTAGTCCTTACTTCCTTCATTTAGTGACTGATGTGGTGACTAGCTTCATGTAAGATCTGACTCATCAAACTCACATTTCCACTTGATTAGACAAGGCTCATATTTGTGGAAACCACTCAAAATTCAGATATTTGCAGCTACTATTTACTTTTTAGGTTGTGTCTCCCTGAGTGAGTTTAGTAGCTCTCTTTTTAAGAAGGAAAAAAAAACAGACTCACTTTTCCACTAACAAGCATGTCATAACAGGCTAACAAGCTACTACTTAGAGGTTCATAGTTAGAGTGCCTCTGCCTAAATCCTGAGAAACCATCTTTGTGTACATACATAAGCTAGATGTGCATGAAAACTCAATTTATTGGAGCAAGAATAAAACCAGGAATGGATCTACAACAAGAACTTTTTGCTAGAGTTTACAGCTAAGAGGAGGAGGAGAAGAGGTTGTACCAGCCTGCAAGCTACGATCAGGAGATCACTAGGTTGGCAGAAAGTTTTACTTGTACACATGCACACATGCACACACATAAGGTTCTCTCTCTCTCTCTCTCTCTCTCTCTCTCTCTCTCTCTCTCTCTCTCTCTCTCTCTCTCTCTCTCTCTCTCTCTCTCTCTCTCTCTCTCTCTCTCTCTCTCTCTCTCTCTCTCTCTCTTTCACTCACTCACTCACTCACTCACTCATTTTTATGATTAAAGTAACAAACCCTTTATTGTTATTTCAGGTGAAAATGATGCAAGTGGTGCTATGATGAATCTCTATAACTGCACTTTTCCAACAATGATTAAAGACTGGAGAAAAAACTTTAACAAATTTTCAAATGGACAAACCAGTGCCTCATTTCCCTTTGGATTTGTGCAGGTATGTACCCATTTTTGTGAAAGGAATGATAATTTGTTTGACCTCTCCTTGTGAGTTTGTCTACCCTGAACACACCCCCCCCCCCTTCCAACAATAAACCTACTGCCCTCTAACAAGCATGTTGTAGAAGGCTACTAATTAGAGGTGTTTTCTTCGAGGTCACAGTGTCTCTGCCTCATAGGCAAGGAACCAACAATCTGCATACCAATAACCCAGATTTGTAAAATGGATGAGAATGCAAAACTCAAGTTTTGGAACAAGACCAGACTCCAGAAGTGGACTAACAAGCAGAACTTTCTGTTGGAGTTTACAGCTGGTGAAGAAAAGAAAAAGAGATTTCTTTGATCTTTTAGGTGATGCCAACTCCTCTCTGACAAGAGATTTAATGGCAGCTCATATATATAGCATTGTGGAACTGCAGCACATCTATTTTCACTCAATATTGATAACATTCTTCTTCGTTTTTTCTTCGCGGTCACCAGCTGTAAACTCTGGCGGAAAGTTCTGGTTGTTCATCCACTTCTGGACTGCAGTACCGTTCCAAAACTTGAGTGTTGCGTGTGCATCCGTTTTACAGATGACTCATTTGTGTGACTGCTGGTTCCTTGCCTCTCAGGCAGATGCACTCCGACTTTGAAGGAAGCTCCCAATTAGTCAACTCTTACGACATGCTTTTGGGTAGGCAGTGGTTCTATTCTTGTTTTCCCTATAATAGGGCCCCGGAATCCACACAGGGAATTGATAACATTCAATAGAATTGGTTTTTTTTTATTGATTTAAAATTTTCTAAATGCTTGAATATTAAATAATCTTTAAGCTTAATGTTAATAGCCATCTTCTGGTTATAAAAAATTACAAAACTCTTAGTGTGGAGCTGTGTGTATCACAGTTCCAGTGACTCAATGTCTGGCTGTTGTGCACATGCACACTTGTAAAAGATAGGAACCTGTAAGCTATGTAGAGACAGCACTGCTGCTAACACAGTGCAGAAGGAGAAAAATTAATAACTTTTCTTGCAAAGTTAAATAAGAAGAATGGATTTAATTTTTAAATTCATGAATAAAATTTGAACTGGAACAATTTTGACTATTAGTAAGAATACATTTGCTTTTTATAAATTTGTTTCGTTTTACATAATATTAAAACAATCGTTAACAATTTTCTGAGGCTGCAGTCCCACTAATTTTAGCTATAAACTGTCACTTACTGGGGCTTATTTTTTGCCCTCTAAAGAACTACATGTTGGTTCTCATCATCTCCTCTCCGTCAAAAAAAAAAAAAAACTTGTTGGTTTCTGTGTCCTAGTAGTAGTAGTAATTTTTCAAAAATATCCTGTTCAACACTCAAGATTATAATTGGGATATATAGTGTTAATTGAGTTCTCAGAGTATAAATGTGTTAGTTTAAATGTATATATCATGTAATTGTTTATATGACTAAAATGTAATTTGTATTGTTTCACATCTTGCTTTGACTTAGATTGAGATTATCATAGAAATTGTATTATGAATAATTAGACAGTCTTGCTAACATTGTTTCATTAACATGGTGGATATATTTTTTCTTAGTGTGCAGTCATTGTTTATTCTCCTCGATTTTATCTTTATTGTCCACTTCTTTAAAGATGCCATGGTCATTCTTTGCCTTTCTGTGTATGGATTTTAGTCCAAGAAATAAACGGCTTGACCTTGCCACGTAGCTCTCTAGGGCTGTTTATGTGCAGCAAGTTTTCCCTTGTCATAGTTAATTTACAGAAATTCATGTTGTCAGTTAATGGTTTCCTTTGATTTTTCAATTTCCTACACTCCAGCAAATAGGGCTCTATAGTATGGTGTTGCTCGTAGAAAATGAAGAGGTCTCATGAACCGACTAGAATGAAAAGGACAGTACCTATGAATATCAAGAAAGTTTTCACCATCAGTATATTTGGAGTTTAGAACAAAATAGAAACCATCATAGAAGAAACGAGAGAACACAAAAATAGCAATATTAAGACTAGCAGACACAAGAACTAAAGGAGTAGGTTGTAAAAAAAAGTGCATCTTGACTTTGTGTATATTTATTCAGGAGTAGAAGTGAGCAAAAGGGCAATACACTGGGTTGGATTCAAGCTAGATCCCATTTTTCTAAGAGAATAAATGCTGAATACATCTCATAAAAAATCATAACACTTACAACTAGCGACAATGAAGTAAATACTTTCAAATATATTCCCCATGTAACAAAACTCAAAATTATAAAGAAAGCAAAGAATTTTTTGAGACACTAAATGACAAAATAAACAAGATCAACAAGAAGAAAATGTTATCATCATGGGTGATTTCAATACAAGAATAGGACACTGGAAGTGAGCAGAAGATTGAAATCACCCATGATGATAACACATTAGAAAATTCAAAGATAACGACAGTCAGAAAAATGTGAACGTGTGCAGGCTGCTTGAGCTATGTTTTCAGAAAGAATTGTGAGTCAGACTCGCAACGCCCAAGCCACGGACGCTGTGTTTCACATATATATGTGGTATAAATGGAATGATCTGAACTGTAAAAGTCAAATAGACTGTATACTAACCAAGTGAACGATGAGAAGAACTGTAATAGATGCAAGAGCAATCCCAAACCTATGTACAGACCACAATGCTGTCATGCTGACCATTATAATAAACAGTGGGAGAAATAAAAGACGACTACATTCAACCACACACAAAAAACATACAAAATTAATAACTTAAAGAATGCTAACACACAAGAAGCAGACCTTCAAAAAGTTACTGAAGATTATACCAGGCTAACTAAAAAAACCAAATCAGAAGAGAAGGAATGGGAGATGTTTGAAATATCAGTTTTAGAAGCAACAAGAGAAACATGAAGAATTGCAAAGAAGAAAAGCACAAGACCACTAATAACACCTTGGTGGAATGAGGAAATAAAAACAGCAGTGAAGGTTGAAGTAAATATCAAGATGATCGTGAAGAATACAGAGTGGCAAGAACAATAACCAGAGATTTTGTCAGAAACGCCAAAGAAACATCATGACAAAAATACAACAAAATGTTGAATGCAGACCAAAAAAGTGCTACAAAAAAACTTTTGTAAGCAAATTAAAGTTATGAGAGGCAGGAAAGAACAATTTGACCTAACAGAAATTATAAATGACAAGACTGGAGTACCCTTAAATTAACCAAAAAGGACCTGGAAAGATGGCGTCAACATTTCAGTGATCTACTTAATTTACAATCACCAGTTTTGAAATGCAAATATGTGAAAATGAACACTAAAAGAACACTGTTCAACACAGTATTCTTACCAGTGCTGTACTATCAATGTCAAACACTGACACTGTCTTCAGAAGACAGAAGGAAAATAGTAACGACAGAAAGTAAATTTTTACGTACTGTGCTAGATGTAACGAGGAAAGATTTCAGGAGGAGAGTCGGCACAAAACC